GGTTCCTGGTTGGCTGCCGGTCGCAGGGTGGAGGGGGTGCACACTCGTAGGGAACAGTGATGAAACCCCTCCCAGAAGGGGAAGAGGGAAGAGGAACCACCCTAAACCACTCACGCCCTAAAGGGCTGGCGGGATTACTTGCTTTCTGTCTCGAGAAGGTAAATGCCGACCTGCGTTGAGGACGAATGCGCACACACACACATACACACACACAAAAAAGACGCATACACACATCAAGCAGTGGCGAAGCGTCCTGGCGTGCCTATAGTCCTACCAAGCGATGTTCTAAGAACCTCTTGTGGTTCCCACGAAATGTTCTCAGAATATTTCTGATTTGGACTGTCTTGTTGTATCCCACCGGGCTTACGTTCTAAGAACATTTTTTGTTATCAGAACATTCTTGGGTTCTAAGAACATGTCGTTGTAGGCCTTATAGGACTGCCGGGACGGTCGGTCCCTGCTCGACACAGGTCGACTAGACGTAAGAGTGACCCTTCGCCGGAGTGACCTTTGGTGCGGGCTCATCGGGCCCCCCCCGATCGCCGAGCACGATGCGATACAAGCGGCCCACGCCCTTGGGTTTGGCTCCCTCGCGCCCCCCAAAGCTGCGCACCAAAGGTCACTCTTACCCAGGGTCACTCTTACGTCTAGCCGAACAGGGCCTCCCCCCCGTTGCCCAGCTTTGGTTCGCAATCGCACACTCATTTTTGACGGTAGCGGCCTCGCGCGCAGCGACGAAGCGGAGACAGTAAGAGCACGAAGCGCGGAGCCGCGGCCGGGCCTTCAGGAATCGCTCTGGGTCCCGCTGCTTGGAGGGTGAAAAAGGGGGTCTGCAACAGGGGGTCTTCAATGGGGGCTGAATGGCCCATGTATGCTCAATGTATCGCTCATGTATGTGATCGGGTACGATTGGCATCCAATGTTGGCGGTCATGGAGGGCCAGCCGTTCGTGCCCGCGCGTTGCCCGCGCGGGCAAACGCGCCGTCCATCCACTGTCGTTCATGCGTGCGGGCGTTCTTGCATATTGTGCGTGGGGCGCCGAAGTGGAGCGCAAGTTTGTCTTGATTGTGCGATTGATGGTCGCGTATGTTCCCAAACGATGATTTGTTGACCCCTAAGACAGATTTGGAATGGGCCCCGCGATTCTCCCAAAATGTGAATTCACATATTACTTTTTTCCCAAATTGTGAATTCACATTGTGGCCCCTTCATTAAGACTCCCACACAAAGTTCCCAATTGTGAATTCACACTTTCCTTTTTTACAAAATGTGAATTCCATTTTCCTTGGTTCCCAAAATGTGAGTTCACATGTTGCTTGTCCCCACGATGTGAATTCACAGTTTGCCCTGGCCTTCGAGATCCCCAAAACGGAGGCGCAGTGTTCCGCATGTCAGATTGGCAGGGCAGATTTTGAGATTCACCTCGCCGCTTTTGTTTATTCCAACATTTTTCTTGCGCCCTCAGCGCACGTTGCCTTCGTCGCCTTTTCCCGAGCCCCCCGCCCCCTTGCTTCGTTTACCCTCAAGTCTCGCGCATGGGTTCACGCGGAGAGCTTCAATTGGTTCCCCCGCCGAACACATCAATCCAGGATGCATCGCCCATGCATGGCCCATAAAGACACCATTGCCGGGACCCTGCGCCCGACCCCCACTTTCACCCTCCAAGCTGCAACCACCGTAAACACACAATACGCAGGTGCACGCACACGATTTCTGGCGTCGCGGCCACGCGCGCAGCGACGCGGCGGAGTCAGTCAGCTTGGAGCCAAGAGATTGCCGCCGAGGCCTCAGAAAAGTTGCCCAGGGTTCACGCACCCCGGCACGCACGCACGCACGCACGCACGCGCGCACACGCACACACAGCAGGCACACACGCACACGCAAACGCACACACACGCACACACACACACACACACACACACACACACGGCACGATCGACGAGCACAGCAGACCACAACGACAAAACATCTTCCATGAGCCCAGTGAACAACAACGGCGTCCCCCACGCTTGTCCCATCAGATTCCGTGTGTCATTGAGTTGCACGGCTTCGGTCAGAAGCATCACAATTCCCAGCCATGTTGCCTGTTGTGTCCTCGTGGCGAATCCGCAGCGCCCCCCGACCCCCTCTTCCTCCCCTCCCTGCCCCTGCCGTCCGCAAGTCCACTTCGGCACACCTGGCACACGCTTCGCGGCCCCGTAGGGAGCTCCACCAAGGGCCCCAGTGGTCGTGTCTGCACTCTGGGCGGCTCCATTTCAGCACATCCCTCAAGCACTCCGTTTCATCACTCGGAGTTGTAACGAAGGCCCCAGAGGCAACGCCCGCATGTGGGGCGGTTCCATTCCGGCGCACCCTTCGCACGCGTCGTTGCCACATGGGGAGTTCCACCGAGGGCTCCAGTTGCGATGTCCGTATGTTGGGCGGTTCCATGTCGTCACACCCTCCACACGTGTCGTGGCATCGTAGGGAGCTCTACCGAAGGCCTTAATGGCGATGCCCGCATTTCGGGCGGCCCTTCGGCGCACCCCTCACACGTGTCGTCGCCACATGGAGAGCTCCACTGAAGGCTCCAGTTACGATGCCCGTGTGCCGGGCGGTCCCATTTCGCCACACGCCTCGCATGTTCCGTGGCCCCACAGGGAGCCCTACCGAAGGCCTCATTGGCGGTGTCTGCATGCTGGGCGGCTCCACTTCGGCACACCCCTCGCGCGGCTCGTGCCCTATTAGGAGCTCCACTTGCGGCCCCAGTGGCGAGGAGGAGGAGGAGGAGGAGGAGGAGGAGGAGGAGGAGCAGGAGGAGTAGGAGGAGGAGGAGGAGGAGGAGGGGGAGGGGGAGGAGGGGGAGGGGGAGGAGGAGCAAGGAGGAGGGGAGGAGGAGGGGAGGGGGGGTGCCCCGTAGGGGGCTCCGCCTGCGGCCCCAGCGAGGGGCGGCCTCGGCCAAGATTGCATCGACGGGGTTGGCACCTGGCCCCGTCTGCAGGACTCCACGAGACGGAGCTCGGGCAGCTTCCGATCGCCGAACTCCAGAGACGCACCGCGCCGGCGCTGTATTCTCGAAGCTGCGAGGAGGAGGAGGACGATGAGGAGGAGGAGGAGGAGGAGCAGCAGCAGCAACAGCAGTTAGAGGACGAGGTAGAGGAGGAGGAGGAGGAGGAGGAGGAGGAGGAGGAGGAGCAGGACGGGGGGGAGATGGGAGGGCGAGGGAGGAAAAGGGACGGGAAGATGAGGCGGGCGGGAATGGCAACCTGCCACGTGGCCCCAGCGGAGGGTCAGCCCGCGGCGTCCTTCACAGACAGTCAGAGACGTCCGCTCTCCTTCGGCCGGGCTGCTTTGGCCCGCCCGGCTCGGAATGGCCCCCAATTAGTCAGCCCGTGCCCCCCCCCCGGGCCTCCAGACAACCCGGGAGTGTCCGCCTTTCTCTGCCTGCCCCGCCCCCCCGCCAGTGCGGGGGCACGAAGGCCAGCGAAACTATTTGCTTGAATCGTCTGCCCCAGATCTTGTTCGGATCGTTTGTCCCCATTGCCTTCGGCACCGAGCGCAAGCAAGCCAATGACGGGGCCCGATTTGACAAGCGAGCTCAGGAAGGTGGCCAACATCATGAGCGGCCTTGACCCGAAGAGGGGAACGCCGCCCACGTCGTGACTCGTGCTTCCTGCAGAAGCTCACGCGTGAGAGGGGCCGGCGACCTGCGTGAGCGAATGCGGGAGTGGCCCCCCTTGGCGCGCCTGCCCGCGGCTGCCCGAACAGGTTGCCTGCGTTCTCGGTTCCGAGCCGCAAGCGATTGGCGCACGCAGCTGGCATCGCGAGGGCGGTGGAAAATTGGCCCCGTGAGGGAGTTCCACCGACGGCCCCAGGGGGACGGCTTGCACTCCGCGTCGCGACCACTTCCGCATACCCCTCGCGCGGACCTTGCCCCACAGGGAGCCTCATCGGTGGCCTCAGCGGCGCGGAGGCATGCCGAACTCCCCGCTCGTTTCGGCGCACTCGTTTGCACGGTTCGTGCCCCGAGGTGGAGCTCCGCCGACGGCCCGCACGCCGCCCCCCGCCCATGTCAGCAAACCCCTCGCACGCATCGTGCCCAACATGGAGCCCCACTTCCGGCGGCAGCCCGCAGGGAGTTCCAGGTACGGCTTACATGGGCGTTCTTGCATGCCTCCCCTCGCCGATATCAGCACACTTCTCACATTCGCCACGCCCCACAGGGGCTTGAGTGCGCTCGCGCTTGCGCTTGCGCTTGCTGTCCGCACTGCCTCTCGGCGCGCGCGCTATATGACGAGAGGCCACGCCCCGTTTCGCGCGCAGTTGCAAACAGGTGGTCCATTCGCCAGGTTGTTGCTGTAACGTGCTCCCCGTTTGAAGTCATGTTGATGTTGCTTGCATTTCGCGTTGCTTTGCCCATTGCCATCATCTTGCCGTTCGGACATGTTGTTGGCGCACGGCTGTTTCCAGCTTAGTGAACCGTCGGCGTGTTGATGGCTTGCCCTGGCATCCACGCATCTGACTCCGCGCACGCCATGCCAACCCATGTGCACGCATACATATGTCAGCGTCGCATTAGCAAGTGAAAGCACCACGGTGAGTGTAGCAAAGGTGGTTTGTGCAAGTGATTCCCCGTAGGGGGGCTTAGGCCAGTCAGGTGGTATACTCGTGGTTGCAACAGTATTATATTCAAACACGTTTGTGCTATTGGTGAGGATGCCCAGAGTTGCCCGAGAGTGATTGTCGACTGGTAGCAATAGCACAGGTGGTATCGTGTTCAAGGCATTGCCGACATGGATGCTACGGACAGGCAGTTGCACCACTGGTGTGAACATGCTGCGGTAATCACATTTGACGACGTGACAGACGGAGGGTCCACCACACGAGGCGCGCATCGCCGCGGAAGCCCCGCACGCAGTCGACGCACACGTGGTGAGGCTCGCACCAGCGATCTGCTTCTGGTATTCTTGCCGCTGCCCGTCGGATGCGATTTGTCGGAGTGCTTGCGGGGTTAGCCTCAGGCCAGCCAGCTGCATATGCCGGGCCATTGCGCAGGAGAGCCACGCCCCGCGGGGCGCGGAAGGGAGTGAGGACGAGAGCTGCTGTTGGAGGCAATGTTCGGGGGCCCCCAAACGGTGTGACCACACCGCGCGGTGAGTCAGTGAGGATTTGGGGTCCTTGCGCGGTTTTGGCACTCTGGGCGTTCTCCGATGGCGTTTCGGGCGACTGGGGCCTCCGGGGTCCCAAAACCGTGCGATGACGGGCCGCGCGTTGAGGTCGCTGGGGATTCCGAGGTGACCAGGCGGTCGGGCGGCAGAACATTTCGCGGATTCAGAGTGGATTCGACACGGATTCGGCGCGAACGGCGACGCGATGGGACAGACAAGTTTCCCAAAGATGCAACGTGTGTCCTCTTTCGTCATGATCCCTCCTCTTCTTCCTCCTCCTGCTCCTCTTCCTGCTCCTGCTCCTGCTCCTGCTCCTCCTCCCAGCCCCTCGCACCTGCAACAGCCTTGATAAGGGCGGCCCTCTGTGTAGCTTTCACGCGCCTTGCTCAGACCCGAATCGGGCAAACGGCCCGAAGGTCCGTTGCCGCCCGTGGCGCCCTGAGGTAACGAGCCCTTTCGAGGCAGCTGCGCTCCTCCTCCTCCTCCTCCTCCTCCTCCTCCTCCTCCTCCTCCTCCTCCTCCTCCTCCTCCTCCTCCTCTGCCCGGCCCAACTCGGGCGGGTGGCATTGGGGGGTGACGTACGTCCGGGGTGAAGCAAAGGACCCCCTTTTGGAGCCAGCAGGGCCCCGCCGCCGCCGCGCCAACTGCCCTGCAGGGGTGTGCTGCGCAGGGCACCGGGGCTGGCCGCCTGCAGGCGGAGGGCGCCCGCTTGGCAGGAGCCGGGCAGCTCCGCGCAGCGGCTGCCCCATCGTCAGTGTTGGCGCCTTTCGCCAGAGTGACTCCCGGTGCGGGCCCACAGGCAAGGAGGGCCCTGCCGCGCAGCGTCGAGAGGTTCCAGATGGATTTTCACCCCGGAACCGTTCCAGGGTGAAAATCCATCTGGGACCCTCTCCCGACGCAAAACGGCTCTGTCGGGGATGGGGAGGGGTGTACCCGAGCTCCCAGAATGGCAATTTTCCAAATGAAATCTCTTATTGGGGAGTGGCGAAGCGTCCCGGCTCGCCCATGGGCCTGCCTTAAAGAGTGTTCTAGGAGCTTTTTGCGGTCTCGACGAAATGCTCTTGGAGCATTTCTGGCTGGGACTGGCTTGCTTTATCACATCGGGCTTCTGTTCTGAGAACACTACGTCTGTTCTTAGATCAGTTTTGGGGTTCTCAGAACATGTCGTGGTAGGCCTATAGGGCTGCCGGGACGGTCAGTCCCTGCCCGACACAGGTCGACTAGACGTAAGAGTGACCCTTCGCTGGAGTGACCTTTGGTGCGGGCTCATCGGGACCCCCCCCGATCGCCGAGCACGATGCGATACAAGCGGCCCACGCCCTTGGGTTTGGCTCCCTCGCCGCCCTGCACCAAAGGTCACTCTTACCCAGGGTCACTCTTACGTCTAGCCGAACAGGGCCTCCCCCCCGTTGCGCAGCACTGGTTCGGGCGCATGGCTCCGCCCTCCCCCGCGGCCCTATCAAAGCCGCGCGCGCCGACGGCCACTCCTGCACAGGGGCTGCTCCGGCGCGCAGCCGGGTCAGCAGTGGTGCGGCAGGTGCCGCCAGCAGCCCCGCAGGGGGCGCGCACGGGGCCATCTTAAAACAACGCGAGGATCGGGACAAAATCGTATCGGGATAACTCGAAATCTCTGAGAATCGGCGGGTTTGGAGGATGTATTGGGCGCCGCGGCCATTCCAGAGCGTTCCGGAGCGCCCTGGTTTACGGTGTGGCCTGGTTGCCCCCGTCACGGCGTCTGCGTCCTCCTCGGCCATGCGGGGAGGAGGCTGCGATTTGAGCGTGACGGAGAGGGAGAGGGGACGAGGTTGGCTGAGGAGTGGGACTGTGGAGGGGGAGGCGGAGGCGGAGGAGGAGTGAGAAGAAGGAGGAGGGGGAGGGGTTTGAGTGGGGCGGGTGTCCATCGAAAGGTCTTGAGGAGCAGGCAGAAGCAGGAGCAGCAGTAGCACAAGAGGGAGGAACTTCGACGGCGAGTGGTGTCAGAGAGGAGGGAGTCACCCAAAACTCGCGAGGAGGGAGTCGAGCTGGTAGAGGGTTTATTCTCTTGCACAGGGTGTCTAGAGCTCCGACCGCTTTATTTCGGCACCGCACCCCCCCCCCTTCATCATCATCATCATCCTCATCATCATCATCATCATCATCATCATCATCATCACCATCATCACCATCATCCTCACCATCATCACCATCATAATCACCATCATCATCATCATCATCATCATCCACATCATCATCATGCGCCCCCTCCGTCTCAGCGCCCTCCCGCGGCTCCAGCGCCCGCCCAGTGCCCCCTCCGCCCCGACCACTTTATTTCGGCACCGCACCCCCCCCCCGCTCCGCCCCCTCCCCCGCGCCGTCTCAGCGCCCCCGCGGCTCCAGCGCCCGCCCAGTGCCCCCTCCGCCTCGACCACTTTATTTCGGCACCGCACCCCCCCCCCGCTCCGCCCCCTCCCCCGCGCCGTCTCAGCGCCCCCCCGCGGCTCCAGCGCCCGCCCAGTGCCTCCTCCGCCCCGACCACTTTATTTCGGCACCGCACCCCCCCTCCCCGCTCCGCCCCCTCCCCCGCGCCGTCTCAGCGCCCCCGCGCGGCTCCAGCGCCCGCCCAGTGCCCCCTCCGCCCCGACCACTTTATTTCGGCACCGCACCCCCCCTCCCCGCTCCGCCCCCTCCCCCGCGCCGTCTCAGCGCCCCCGCGCGGCTCCAGCGCCCGCCCAGTGCCCCCTCCGCCCCGACCACTTTATTTCGGCACCGCGCCCCCCCCCCCGCTCCGCCCCCTCACCCGCGCCGTCTCAGCGCCCCCGCGCGGCTCCGCGCCGCCCAGTGCCCCCTCCGCCCCGATACTTTATTTCGGCACCGCAACCCCCCCCCGCGCCTCTCCGCGCACCCGTCCCCCGCGCCGACTCCGCGCCCGCCCAGCGCCCTCCGCCCTGACCACTCCATTTCGGCACCCGCACCCCCCCCGCTCCGCCCCCTCCCCCGCGCCGTCTCAGCGCCCTCCCGCGGCTCCAGCGCCCGCCCAGTGCCCCCTCCGCCCCGACAACTTTATTTCGGCACCGCACCCCCCCCCCCGCTCCGCCCCCTCCCCCGCGCCGTCTCAGCGCTCCCCCGCGGCCCCAGCGCCCGCCCAGCGCCCCCTCCGCCCCGACCACTTTATTTCGGCACCGCACACCACCCCCCTCCGCCCCCTCACCAGCGCCGTCTCAGCGCCCCCCCGCGGCTCCAGCGCCCCCCCAGCGCCCCCTCCGCCCCGACCACTTTATTTCGGCACCGCACCCCCCCCCCCCCCCGCCCCCGCCCCTCCCTCGCGCCGTCTCAGCGCCCCCGCCAGGCCTCCAGCGCCGCCCAGCTGCCCCTCCGCCCCGAACCAATTTTATTTCGGCCCGACACCCCCCCCCCCCCCCGCTCCGCCCCCTCCCCCGCGCCGTCTCAGCGCCTGCCTTGGACAAGCGTTCGCAACACAAGGCCGCCGCGCACTTTGCACCGCGAGCCCCCAGCAGCTGAGTCCGCTCAGTAATTTCTTCCAGCCCTCCTTGGACCCTGGAGGCCTCCCCTTGGAACCCTCTGTAGGCTTCTCGGGCGTCAGTTGGAGGCTTCCTGGGAACCCGTCAAAGGTCTTTGAAGCCATCTTGCGGGGGACGGCCCTTGGAGTCTCCTCGCGCTCGCCCTCTGGGGCCCCTCTTGCGGCCCTGTTTTGTTCACTCCTTCTGCGATGTCTGGCATCCTCCCCCCCCCCCCCCTCCTCCTCCACATCCTCCTCCTCCCCCTTCCTTTTTTGTGCAAGAGCCATGGCACACGTGCCACTTGTTTAATCGCTTCGCTCATGCCGCCAGCCCTGGAGCCCTCTTTAGGGCCTCTTGGGGGCCTCTTGGGGACCTCTTGGGAGTCTCTTGGGGCTCCTTGGCGGCGTTTTGGAGGCCCCCGGGGCCTCTTGGGGGGCTCTCGCGAGGAGGGAGTCGAGCTGGTAGAGGGTTTATTCGATCGGCGCCGCGTGCGCGGATCGGCCCCTGCAGCCCGCGGAAGGACAAAAACACTCTGGGCGCCTCGGAGTGCTGTGGCTCTCCATCGCGATCCGCTCTTGGTCCGCCTCTCCATCTCTCTCTTGCCTCTCTCCTGTGCTGTTTCCTCCTCCTCCTCCTCCTCCTCCTCCTCCTCCTCCTCCTCCCGCCGTCTGCTTTTTTCTTCCCCAGACATATGGCGTCGTAATTGTTGTCGCAACGTGGCGGCCCAGAGGTCAGGACCCCTTCCCGGAGACCAGCTCTTCGCTCCGAGCCGGGTCTTGACACCTTCCAGGGGCCAGCTGAGGCCGACAATCTCGGAAGATGTTGCGTAGCGATTTGTTCATCACGTCGCATCTTCGGGGGACTTCTTGTTCCGTGAAGGGCGGCATCTTCGAGTGTGTCCGACGCGGCTCCGACGTGGAACCCGCCGTGGGTTCGACGCGGACTCGGCGCGGATTCGACAGGGATCGGGTGCGGGCTCGGCGCGGACTGTGGGCGCGGTGGGACGGACGAGGCCTCCCGACGATGCAGCACGATCCGCGAGGACGTCAGAGCCCCCGGAGTGCCCCCCCCACCCCCCCGACGTCAGCGCCACCCCCCCCCCCCCGGCCAGAACCCGTGGGCCAGAGAAAGAAGGGGAGGAGGAACAAGACGGGGAGGAGGAGGAGGAGGAGGAGGAGGAGGAGGAGGAGAGGAGGACTGAAGGTAGTATGGCTTTGGGCGCCCTGCCCCTGTTAGTGGGCCCAGTCTGCTGGAATCACGTCCACGCCCCCCCCCCCCCCCCCCGGCCAGAACCCGTGGGCCAGCGTCGGCCTCCTCGTCGCGGCCGCGCCGCTGCTGCGGCCCGCCGCCGAGGGCGGCGCGGCCGCGGACGCCCCGCGTGCCCGGGGGGGGAACCTGCTTTTCGGAGGGCTCCCGGGGTGGGGCCCCCCTCGTCCTCCTGGGGGAGCGCCTCGTCGTCCTCGCTCCACGCTCTTCCCTCCTCCTCGTCCTCGCTCCACGCTCTTCCCTCCTCCTCCTCCGCCTCCGCCTCCGCCTCCGCCTCCTCCTCCTCCTCCTCCTCCTCCTCCTCCTCCTCCTCCTCCTCCTCCTCCTCCTCCTCCTCCTCCTCCATCTCTTCTCCTTTCACAAATCTCCTCACGGTCGCACCCTGAGACGGTAGGGCGAGCTGGGCGTTTCGCTTGGGATTTCTGTACCGCTTATGGTTTGTAAGTTTAGAAGTTGCAGCAGTTTAGCGGGTGGAAGGCGTGCCGTTTTCAAAATGCGGTTCTCGCATTAGCGTTGCGCACAGTTGTCTTAACAGCGTGGTGTATCATGGATTGAGGGCGGGCCATTTTCAAAATGTGGTTCTCGCCTCAGCACCGCGCACAGTCGTCTTAAAGGTTCGCAAGAGTTTCATTGATGGAGGGCGGGGCGGTTTCAAAAGGTGAGTACCGCCGTAGCGTTGCGCACATTCATCTCAGAGGTTTGCAAGAGTTTCATTGATGAAGGGCGGTTATTGAGAAGGCCTTACGGCCAGTGCTGTCGACCCTGAAGACGACGACGACGACGACGCGGACGGGGACGAGGACGAGCAGGAGGAGGAGCAGGAGGAGGAAGAAGAAGACCAGGAGGACCCCTTAGGGGCCTCGGGAGAGCTTCTTGGGGCCGAGGGCTCCAGCTGTTCGTTTCGGTCCTCTGTCTGGGCACACTCCTGGAGCCGTCCTGGCGCTCCTCGGGAGGGGGAGGGAGGGCGGATGCGCGTCTTGCAGGACTCATGGGCCGCCTGGAGGCCGTGAAGGCGTCTTCGACGGATCGCTCGGCGATTCGAAGCCCGCTCGGACCGTCTCGGGGGCGTCTTGGGGTGCTCTCGGCTCGTCTTGGGTTCCTTGGGCTCCGGGGCACCCCGGGGGGGAGTCGTATCTGACCCGCCCCCCCCCCTCTGGGGACTCACCCTGGGACCCCCCTGGGACCAGACCCGAGACTCCCTTCCCCTCCCGGCGGGAAGGGATCAAAGGGAAGGGGCTTCCCTTCGAGTCTGCTACGACATTGCTCCATTTCGCTTTGGCTGGCGCGCTTGCGGAGGAGGGCCCAGGCAAGGAGGGGGAGCGGCGACGGGCACAGGGAAAGGATAGCGCAAAGAGGACGGCAGGAACGACGATCAACGAATGACGGCGACTACGACGAACGGAGAAGTCCCTCACACACGCCGACAGAGTCAGCGGAGTTTTTGAGGTGTGGCTCTCGCCTAGGCGCCGCGCACATTCGTCGTAAGAGTTTACAGCAGTTCCAAGGACTCTGATGGTTGACGTCGCAGAAGTAGTGTTGTGGGACGATGCAGGCTGGTCCGGGCGCAACAGCTACGTTGACGCGCGGCCTTGAGGTACCAGAAATCATGTTTTGGCACTGTACTGGACTTTGAACTGCGTGGTGACCACACCGCTTGGCGAGCCAGCGGGGATTCGGGATCAACGCACCGTTCTGGGACCCGGGTCGCCCTCCGAGGGCGTCTCGGGCGACTGTGGCCTCCAGGGTCCCAAAGCAGTGCGGCGACGGGCCGCGCGGTGGAGTCGTTGGGGAGTCCGATGTCACCACGCGGTCCGTCACCACACGGTGTTGGAGGCCCGAGAGGGGGGTGTCCTCGTCTTCCTTGGGGGTTTTCTCCTCCTCCTTTCTTGATCCTCCTGTAGCTGCAGATGCTGGCCTTGGCGCTCGCCTGAACGGGGGCCATGCCTCCTCCGCCTCCTCCTCCTCCGCCTCCTCCTCCTCCTTCTCCTCCTCCTCCTCCTCCTCCTCCTCCTCCTCCTCCTCCTCCTCCCTGTCCAGGGAGGCTGCGGAGAGGGAGGCGGCGGAGGGGAGGGGAGGCGGCGGGGGCCCAGAGGGAGGGGGCAAGGGGGCGCGCGGGAGGGCGGGGTTTCTATGGGGTCAGGGGGAAGGCGTCCTGGCCAGGGTCTCCCCCGTTCGATGGCGCTGATGTCAACATCGGACCTCGTCGTGTGTTGCAGCGCAGGGAGAGGCAAGGGAGTTCGAGTGGGACTCGAGTGGCCTGATCAACCCCACTGTGAGCACGACAGCATGGCCGGCGAAAGGAGACAGCACCAACCCCCAGGCCTATCCTGGGCGACGAGGGCTGCCTCATGATTGGTAGCCCTGAAGGGCACGGCGTGGGAAGGGCAAGGGGCGAAGGGGAGGCATGGGGGCAGGAGGCGCAGGCGAGCCACGCATATCGAGGGGGCGCAGTACTCCGGAGGGGCTGGGCCCATCCTCCAGGGGTCCTCAGGTGCTCCCGCGTGCTGCTCCTGGCGCGCCAGGGGCTCCCGGTGTTCCAGGTGTTCCAGGAGCTCCCAGCGCCCCAGGTGCTCCAGTATTCCAGGGGTCCGAGGGGCTCCATGTAACTGCTAGGAAGAGTCCAACTAATCCGCATACTCCTGATGCTCGAGGTGCTTCGGTGTTCGTCGAGATTCTCCATATCTCCGAAGTGCGCCAGATATTCAATCTAGGGCCAGTTACACTGTGTGCTACTGTGGCCTTTGCATATCGGCGTGCTCGGTCCTAGAAGCGAGACATGAAGTGTTTGCATTCAGAGATCCGCCGAAGTTGGGGCCGTCTTCTCCCTCCAGGAGTCGAAGGATGCAGAGAGGAGCTTAGGAGACACCCCCAGAGCACCTGCAGCCCACAGGGCTGGTGGGATTGCGGACGAGGGGTCCGACAATACTCCACCGAGTGCATGGCGACACGGCGGGGGCAGCGTGTCGACTGGGATGCAGGTCGAATCGTGTCGACGACACAGCTGTCCCAGACTTGATCGTTGTCGTCGTCACTGCCGCATGTGACCCCAAAGCGCGCATGCCCAATACGGCCGGGCCGAGGTATAAGATCGAGGTCGGTTCGGGGAGGGTGCCCTGATGTTCTTCGTGCTTGTTGGATGTTCTTGTGCATCCTGGGGAGGGTGCCCTCGAATGTTCTGTGTGTCTTGGCTGGTGGAGGGTCTCGTGTTCTTGGAGGATGTCCTTCTGCCCTAGGTCCAGCCGTAGCAGGACGCAGCTGCCTGCGACAGACCACGCCGCCGTGCCAGCGCAGCAATCGCTGCACGGGGGCAGGCGGAGAGCTCCTTCCGAGCGCAGCGGAGAGCTGGGATCGCCAGGAGGGGATGGGCCGCCGCCCCCCCCCCAGGCTTCCCCTCCTCCTCCTCCTCCTCCTCCTCCTCCTCCTCCTCCTCCTCCTCCTCCTCCTCCTCCTCCTCCTCCTCCTCCTCCTCCCTCCTCCCTCCTCCTCCTCCTCCTCCTCCTCCCTCCTCCCTCCTCCTCCCTCCTCCTGAGCAGCCCGTTCGACGTGTGAGCCCGCTCGGCCTCTGAAGGGGCAGCCGAGCGCGCTCCGTTCCGACGGGGTCGCTGCGATGGAGTCCGCCCCGCCGCCGCACGGGGGTCGATCCTGAGCCGGGTCGGCGGCCGAAGTGGTTCCGACCCTGAACGGCAGCCACGATGGTACGGTAGGTTTGCGTCGTGTCGACCGGCGGCGACCCCGCCGCCGACGTTCAACTTTGAACGCCGACGGCGGCCCAGAATCGGTCGATGTTGAACGATCGGACGTTGCGGAGACGGCCGATCGTTCAAGGTTGAACGATCCCTGCGGTGTCAAAAACCAACGCTGGGGTCGGCACGACACGAACCTGCCGTAGAGCGTCTCGTGCCGCGGCGCCAGGCCAATCGTGGTCGCTCGCCGCCTCGTCGCGGAGCCGTTCCTCTTTTGGCACGCGGCGCGCGCGGAGGGGTCGGAGAGTGCGTCAGGCTGCGGGCTGTCTCGCAGCTCGGCCGGGAGGAGGCCGAGCAGGTCTCAGGAAGCAGACGGCCCCCAGCTTAATTCGGAGGGCACCAACTATACGCCAACACCGATCCTGGCCCAGGATCACCCTGGGCCCAGGATCGGTGTATATGCCTTCTTGCGCAAGGCAGGAGGGCGTATACACCGATCCTGGGCCCAGGGTGATCCTGGCCAGGATCGGTGTTGGTGTATAGTTGGTGCCTTCCTATTAATGCAATTACTCTCCCCCCCCACGGCAAGGCGACGGCACCATTTGAGCAGGCTCAGTGCCACCGGGCGTTGCAGGTTGTTGGGCTGCGCCAGGCGAGCCTGTGCAAAAACACACACGCGGTCTCGGGGGGCGATGAGCCAAACACGCAGGGAGTGGGAACCACGTTGACGCACACACGCACGCATACACGAACACAAGATCCTCTCAAGACGTTCGCGTCGCATTACGAGGGCTAGCAAGAAAGTGAGAAGGACGAGGAGGGCTATGAAGGGGATGAGGAGGAGAGGGGGAAAGAGGACAGAGAGGGAAATGGTGATGATGATGTGAATGAGGAGTGATACGGAACATAAAGACAACTGCGCGGAATAGCTGTAGGGACAGCTGCGCGCAATACGGGCTGCAAAAACAAGGCGAGCACGAATACGTTGACAATCACAACATCAAGACCGCAAACGGCGGCGGAGACATAGGCACCGACGCCTGTCCTGCATTGCCCCCCTTCGCCAGGCACCTGGCGTCGTGATTTGTTCTCACAGTGGCCTCTGGAAGTTCTCGACCTTTGCTCGGGGACTGGCTTCTCATCTCGAGCAGGTTCTTGCCAGCCCTGGGTCCTGACCAGGGCCCCCCGAGGCTGCAAACTTTCAGCAAGCATGCCGTCGCGACTTTCTCGTCGCGGGGGGGGCCACGTCAGAGGGGCAAGAGGTGATGAGAATAATAGGTTTCAAGATTCCCAGGGCTCCCAAGATTTCGTGCTGCAGAAACGAGGGCCGCCGGGCACGTACTCTGGACCTCCTGGAACGCATCCTGAGCAAATCGCATCCTGACATCCTTCTCGTCCTACCAGCAACAACGACGACGACGACGACGACGACGACGACGACGACGACGACGACGACATCGGCGGTGCGTCTCAGTCGCCGGCAGGATCGCGCTGCGCACGATCGGGAGCTGGCCGCGCCGCCACGACGTCCGCCGGCGGCCGCCGCGGAGAGCGCAGGCGCGCCCCGAGCCGCCCACGCGCCCGGCGTGAACACGAGGCCCTTTCGCGCAGGGGTGTGGGGTGGGGGAAGGGGGAGGCGGAGGAGGAGGAGGAGGAGGAGGAGGAGGAGGAGGTGGAGGAGGAGGAGGAGGAGGAGCAGGAGCAGGAGGAGCAGGAGGAGGACCAGCGCAAACTCCAGACTCATCAACGACGTTGGAATAAACCCTCCCTCCAAGCTCCCTTCTCATACGTCATTTCCACTGAGGGAAGTGCCCCGTTGGGAGACAACCGATTGAAGATCTTGAAGCGTGCCAAAGCACAATTCTCGGGACAACGCCACGAATCAACCTGACTGTTGCGTCTTGAAGCTCTGGAATCGTTCCAGAACGCCGCGAATCAACGTAGCTGTTGCGCCTTGACAATCCTGAATCATTCCAGAGCACCGTTTCTGGTACATTACCCATGGGAACCAATGAAACTCTTGAACAACAATTGAAAACGCATGTGCGCGGCGCTAAAGCGAGAGCCACAGTTTGAAAACGACCCGCCCTCAATCCGCGAAGCTTGTGCTCATGTTCAAGACAAATGTGCGCAGCGCCAAAACGAGAGCCACACTTTGAAAACGTCCCGCCCTCAATCCGCGAAGCTTTTGCACATGTTTGAGATTAAGACGAATGTGCGCGGCGCTAGGGCGAGACCCACATTTTGCAAACGACCCGCCCTCAATCTGTGAAACCCTTGCACCGTTTAAAACCGATTGCGCGCGGGGCGAAGGCGAGAGCCACATTTTGAGAACGGCCCGACCTCAATCCGCGGAAAGTCTGCAAAGGTTGAACACGAACGCGCGCGGCGCTAGGGCGAGAGCCACATTTTGGAAGCGGCCCGCCCTCCACTTGTAAATTTGCTGCCAATGTTTTAAGCTTCTGGACCATCAATGGTAAGGAAGTCTCCGGCGAAACGCCCGGTCCAGGGAAGAGGGGAAGGGAACGGAAGGACGAGGGGGAGGAGGAGGGGGTGCGGGAGGAGGAGGAGGAGGAGCAGGAGGAGGAGGAGGAGGGGGAGCGGGAGGAGGAGGAGGAGGTCGCGGGAGGGAGGCAAGGAGGAGGAGGACACGGGAGGGATTGTTTTGGATTGCGCTCTGATTCGCCGAGGAGGCGGTAAGCTCAGCACGGGAGGGAAGCAGGGAGGGGGAGGGAGGGGTGGCGCAGGAGAAGACGACGACGACAAACGACGGCCGCGCGCGCCGCTGCCCACAGCTGCCGCTCCCCAGGGGGGAGGGGGGGCGGCAGCAGGCCGCCTGAACGGGGCCCCAGCAGGCGGAGTCACATGGTTCAGGCTCGTTCTGTCCGTTCTTGGCATCGCTCGGACGTGTGCATTTTTCCTTCGGCGAGGACCATCGAGGAGCATCCTTGATCATTTGGCGAAAAAAACCACACACGAAACCGAAAAAAACACAGGGAATGGACGTCCGAGCGATGGCCAGCGTTGCTGGTCTCACATTGTGTGCTTCCTCTCTTCCGCACGCTCTGAAACGGTGGGATCCCCTTCCGTCTGTCAGTTCGGAAGTTGGCAGTTTCCCTTCATCAGGGTTCGACCATGGAAATGTGTCGCCCCACATCGCCAATACACCAGCGATGCCGCGCGATCCGGACCAAGATGTTGCTGGTCTCGGCTTGGCCGATGCATTTCCGAGCAGTGCATCGGAGATGCGGTGTGATCCCCCGGCTCCATCGAGTCGGTCCACGACTGGGCGGCCTCCACTGGCGGGTGGCGGCGGCAAGAGGTGGTGTCGCGAGACGGGCGGTTTCCGGTTCCCCGCCCGGTCCTTTTCGGGCGCGGCGTTATGGTGGCAGCCAGGCGGGGTGTGAGGGAGAAGGGGTGAGGATGATGGCGACGACGACGAGGGCGGCGACCACGACGACGACGATGACGACGACGACGACGGCGACGGCGACGAGGACGACGGGAAGCGGAAAAAGGGAAGAGCCGGAGGAAAAGGAGGAACATTGAGGGCGTGGCAACAGTCGTTGGGTCTCCCAGAAAGCCGCATAAACGCAGTTCGCATGCGTTGGAAGCGTTGATGGAGAAGGTGGCTGAAGTAGAGGGTTTGCGCGTCCTGTCGGTTGCCGTTTGGGCCTCACGATAACCGCATCTTGACGAAGTGGAAAGAGAAAGGATGAGGATGAGGAGGAGGAGGAGGACGACGACGAGGAAAAGATGGAGGTGGTAGGCAGGAGGACGAGCAGTCTCTAAGGGCGAGGTTTTGCTTGAGCCTTGCTCTCGGAAATGTCTGAAAACGTGGCAAGCGCGGGGGGGAGTGGAGAGGGGGGGGGACGAGGAAAACCCAGAAGAAGTGAGAAAGTGTGGGGGATCTTGGGACTGCTTCCTATCTAGTTGTGTGCCCCTGGGCCCCCCGTGCCGTGCCGTGCCGCGCGCGCCGCCCCCCGTCCCCCGCGGCCAGGCGGGCGCCGCGCACGGCACGCCCCCGCGCGCCAGCGCCAGAGCGGGCCAGCGCGCGAGGACGCGCGGGGTGCGGGCCGGAGGTGCGGTGCGCTCGGCACGAGGCGGGGGCCTTTGTTCACACGACGCGAAGATCGGAACAAAATCGGATCGGGATAACTCGAAATCTCTGAGAATCGGCGGGTTTGGAGGATGTATTGGGCGCCGCGGCCGCTCCATGCAGAGCGTTCCGGAACGCTCTGAGAGCGCTCCGGAACGCTCTGGAGCGATTTATCCCGATCCTAGCCCTGTTTTACTTTGTCAGGCGATCGCAGACATGGTTGAAGGGGGCGTAAGTGAGCGACGGGTCCCGCTTCCGTGGGAGACCCAGATGTCCGCCGCCGAACGAGGCGGCACCGGCCGCATTCTGGGGAGGGCACCTCCCCCGATCCATGTGTTTGGCGGTCGCGCGCCAACTCCATGGATCGCCAATTCATGTTTGCGCGCCCCCGACTTTGGGACGGGCTGGGACGAGGCTAAATGCGTTCCAGAGCGTTCCGGAACGCTAGGCCGCGGCGCCCAAGGCATCCTCCAGAGCCGCCGGATCTCAGAGATCCTCGTCCTAGCTTCGCCTTACTTGGGACGTGGCTCGGTGCCAACGGGGTTCAGCCAAAGTGCCAGAGCTTGCAGGGTGCCGCAAAACCAGGGTTTGCATTGACACGGGTCAACAGATTTCCGAACGAGTACGGAGCCAACAGGGTGGAAGACCGACAGCAGGTCTTGTCCGTTTTGCGCAGATTCGGCTGTCGGTGTCGCCGCGGACGTTGCCGTTGTGCGGGCCAGAGATCCCCTGCCCAACAGCGGCCGCTGTCGGTCTTGGACAGCACGTGCTGCTGGGCATCGTAGCAATTTGTTTGTCCGTACCCGTGTTGGGCTTGCCGAGAAGTTCAGCGGAGGCAGGACGGCCAGTCGAGACAGCGGTGCACCCCACCCTGGCGCGTTTCGCTCTTTTTGTTGAGCCCCTTGGAGGCTTTCGGCAGCCGCCACGCTGGGGAGGAAGGCAGAGGAGGCGAGCTTTCTCAGGGGGCTCTCGGACGGCGTCTGAGAAGCCCCGCCGCCCTCTGAGAGGGCCCGTGAGCCCTGGGGACCGATCGGGCTTAACAGCCCCTCTCGGGAGATCGCCGAAGCAAGAATCAGAAGAGAAGTCCCAGCTGCTCCCGTGCCCGGCGCCGGCTTCCTCGGAGTGGAACGGCGCAGTCAGGCAGCACCGTGGGGGCGCGCACGAAAGAAACCAGGTGCTGTTCGTCGGGGCACCCCGGGTTCCTTCGCTCCGCGCGCTGCGGGGTGGCTTCCCGCAGCCGCTGAAGCAGCTGCTGCTTGCAGGGTGCTCCCGGCTCCCCCTCGTGGTGCGCGCCCCGCGCGCGGGTGTTCAGGCTTGGGTTTCTCGCGAGGGTTCTTCTTGCGGCCGCGCCCGCACTGTGCCCTCCTCTCCCCCCCCCCCTCGTCGGACAGCAAGCACTTACGTCGGACAGCAACTGGTGGTCACAATTGGAGGACGGTCATCTGCACCGTACAAACAGAGACAGGTCTGCCCTTGACTGAATGAGCGGCGCCCCGGCGCCCACTCCCAGCCCCGCGCGCGGCCGCCCTCACGGGCGAACTGGGAGTCGCCTCGCCTCGCCTCGCCTCGCCTCGCCTCGCCTCTCCCCTCCCCTCGCTGCTCCTGCCAGCGCGGGCTGGCAGGAGGCAGGGCCACGAGGGCCACCTTCGGCCCCGGCGGGCCTGCAGAGAGGCGGCGGGGTCGCAGAGGGTGCTCGCCCCGCGAGGGCCTGGGAGAGACGAGCTGTGCCCACCACGGGCTCGAGGTCGCCACCCGTGCGGCATCGGGGGAGGGGGGCTGCGCACGGAGCAGGAGTGTCTGCACCGTATACACCCTAGGCGATGCTTAAGAAAACTTGAGCTTTCGGCCAGAGTCTCGATTATTCTTAACGTTTCAATGCAAATCCTAAGATTTTAATAGAAATGTTGGGTTGTTACTCAAGTTCTGAGACCATGAATTTCTTAACCCATGATTTCTTAACCATTTCGCGTGGTGTATAGGCTTAGAGGCCCAAGAAGCCCAGGGCACCCTGGAGGCAAGCAGGGTGTCTCTTGGCATGGGCCTCCACTGCACTGGGAGGTCCTCGTCGGAGGGACCAGGGAGGACCAGAGGACTGCCACGATAGCTTGGGAGGAGGCGCACAAAACTCCATGCACGCGAAGCAGACCTGCGCACAAAACTCCATGCGGAGCTCCCACAGCTTCTGTCTATGCAGTTCGGTTGCTCTTCTGGCGCCGTGGGCTCGTCGGCGCCGAGAGCTCACCCCGAGGGTCTGGAAAGACGAGCTATCCCCATCGCAGGCTCGAGATCGCCACCTGCCGCATCTCGAGGGAGGAGACCTGCACACAAAGCATGCAGGTCTGGAGCTCCCACAACAGCTCTGTTGCTCTTCTGGCGCCCTGGGCCCGTCGGCGCAGTGGCTTTTCCCCAGGGAGGCCCCGGAGCAATCAGCGAGCGAAGAACGGTATAAGATAAACTTTTCCGCTGTCGGGGGCGCCTGTCCCTGGGCGGCTGGAAAGTTTATACCCCTACGGTGCCACCGTAAGGGTATAAACTTTCCAGCCGCCCAGGGACAGGCGCCCCCGACAGCGAAAAAGTTTATTTATACCGTTCTTCGCCCGTTAGCAAGGAGGCTCCCCCGGACGTGGCCGGCTGGCGCGGTCGCGGCATCGGAGGCCGCGCGCCCCGGCGCGTCTCTTCGCGGCGCGGGCCAGGCGTGGGGGGGGAGGTCCCCGCGCCCCGCAGCAGGAGGTCGGCCACGCGCAAAGTGAAGTCGGGGCGTGCCTTCTACAGGAGGAATGTTCAAACGTAGTTAATTTTTTTCCCAGTGCGACCCTACCTAGGAGTTGGAGCCTCTAGGAAAGCAACATTAGTAGGAGCGGTAAACGCCGTCCTCCTCCTTCTCCTCATCGTCGTAGTTGTAGCAGTAGCGGTAGTAGTAGTAGTAGTAGTAGTAGTAGTAGTAGTAGTAGTAGTAGTAGTAGTAGTAGTAGTAGTAGTAGTAGTAGTAGTAGTAGTAGTAGTAGTAGTAGTAGTAGTAGTAGTAGTAGTAGTAGTAGTAGTAGTAGTAGTAGTAGTAGTAGTAGTAGTAGTAGTAGTAGTAGTAGTAGTAGTAGTAGTAGTAGTAGTAGTAGTAGTAGTAGTAGTAGTAGTAGTAGTAGTAGTAGCGTAGTAGTAGTAGTAGTAGTTAGTAGCAGTAGTAGTGTAGTAGTAGTAGTAGTAGTAGTAGTAGTAGTAGTAGTAGTAGTAGTAGTAGTAGTAGTAGTAGTAGCAGTAGTAGCAGTAGCAGTAGCAGTAGTAGCAGTAGCAGTAGTAGCAGTAGCAGTAGCAGTAGCAGTAGCAGTAGCAGTAGCAGTAGCAGTAGCAGTAGCAGTAGCAGTAGCAGTAGCAGTAGCAGTAGCAGTAGCAGTAGCAGTAGCAGTAGCAGTAGCAGTAGCAGTAGCAGTAGCAGTAGCAGTAGTAGTAGTATCGTAGTCGTAGTCCGTAGTCGTAGTAAGTAGTAGTAGTAGTAGTAGTAGTATAGTAGTAGTAGTAGTAGTAGTAGTAGTAGTAGTAGTAGTAGTACTACTACTAGTACTAGTACTAGTACTAGTACTAGTACTAGTACTAGTACTAGTAACTGTCTATACTAGTACTAGTAGTAAGTAGTAGTAGTAGTAGTAGTAGTAGTAGTAGTAGTAGTAGTAGTAGTAGTATAGTAGTAGTAGTAGTAGTAGTAGTAGTAGTAGTAGTAGTAGTAGTAGTAGTAGTAGTAGTAGTAGTAAGTACATATATATATATATAGCAGCAGCACTAGCGGATGTTGTGCTGCGCTATGCTATGCTATGCTATGCTATGCTATGCTATGCTATGCTATGTTGCGCAATGCTATGCTGGGCTAGGCTAGGCTATGCTGTGCTATGCTGCGCTATGCTATGCTGCGCTATGCTATGTTATGATGTTGCTGTTGCTTTTGCTTTGCCTTCGCTTTTGCCTTCATGTTTGCCTTTGCTTTTGCTTTTGCTTGGCACCCAGTGAGCGCAACTGGGGGAACCGCGCGTTTGCTTTTACCTTTGCTGTTGCTTTTGCTTGGCTCCCAGGGGACTGGGGGAACCGCCTGGGGCGCTTTCCACTGCCCGGCCCCTTTAAGCCAACAGAGTAAGAACCTTTCTAGGCAGCGCCTAGGTAGGGAAATAGTCTGAGGACGATTTTTTAAAAACTATGTTTGAGCAGTTTGAGGCATATTTCCCATGTTCTATTTTTCGTTAAAAATCCCCCTGTGGGAGGACAGGCCCGACTTAAGCGCAAAGGGGGGGGCCGGTGGGAGGGGGAAGGCTCCGTCGAAGCTCCCCTTCTTCTCAGGAGGTGCGGGCCGCATCTGTGGATGCAGGTCCGGCGCCTCCCAAGAAGCAGCCTCGTTCTGCGGAGCCTTCCCCCCTCCCCCCGACCCTCTTGTGCGCGCCGCCAACGAGGCGGAGGGGGGGCAGCAGCAGGAGCTTGTCCACAAGGAGGAGGAGGAGGAGGAGGAGGAGGAGGAGGTGGAGGAAGAGGAGGAGGAACAGGAGGGAGGAGGAGGGAGGAGGAGGAGGGGAAGAGGAGGAGGATGAGGAGGAGGAGGAGGAGGAAGAGGAAAGAGGAGGAGGAGCAACAGGAGGAAGAGGGAGGAGGGAGCAGGGGCCCTTGGCCTGACAACGCCCCGTCGGTCCCTTTCTTATATTTGGGGCCCCTCTCGTCCAGGCCCAGGCAGGAGGGCGGGGCCACCTGGCGACGCTGATGTTGGCACCCCTTCTTTCGTGCATTGTTGTGCATGCGCGCTGCAGGCCCGTATAGGTGTAGCAGTGTATAGATGT